GTCTCAGCTACCAGGGAGGCTGAGCTGGGAGGATCCCCTGAGCCCAGGAAATTGAGGCTGCAGTGAGCCAAGATGGCATCACTGCACTCCAGTCCTGTCCCCAAACCAAAAACAAGCAAAACATGACAGAATATGCTTTAAGAACGCATAATGTGTAGGAATACTGCTTAAACCCCGCCAGAGGAGAAGCTCACATTTGGGATGGCGTCCCCCAGGGGACGGCGGGTGGATGGGAGCAGGGCCGGGGTTTCGGGGCTGGCGAGGCAGGTGCACTCACCAGTGTCTGCTGTGTGGTGAGGCCTTGTCATCGTGTAGTTGTATACACACGTTAACTCCTAATGAACTAGAAAGTGAGCATCGAAAATGACACCTCGAAGTGTTAATAATTGTTGAAGCTGGGCAATGGGTACATGGAAGTTCATGGTACTGGTTTTGTGTGTAACTGACATTTCCCATCACAATGTTAATGATGACGCGAGCCTCAACAGGACAATGCTGGGCCCCGTGATGGCTGCGTCACTGCACGAGGTGGGCTCCCACCCACAGTCCCTTCTCAGCAGAGCCAGGAGCCCCCACTTTCCTTCTGGCCTTCCCACTCCTGTGCTTTGTGAAGTCATCTCTACTTCTGATTCCTTGTGGATTCTTGCAGGATGTTTGAATAAAAGGGGGTGTGGGCAGTTTCTGAATTAACCCCTTTTTCCACCACCCTTCCCACACGCGCAGTGGGCCCCGGAGTGGCGGGAGTGGAGCTGGGATTTGAGTAGGGTCTCCGTGGACAGGGCGGCATGTGGACCACGTAGACCATCATGATGTATCCGAAGCTCATGGGTTTACTTTTTGTGACTTTGAGCTTTTTTTTTCTTTTCTTTTTCTTTCTTTCTTTGTGTTTTTTTTTTTTTTTTTTGAGGCAGGGTCTCACTCCGACTGCCCAGGTTGGAGTGCAGTGGTGCGATCACAGCTCACTGCAGCCTCACCTTCCCGGGCTCAGCCTCCCACTTCAGCCTCTCCTGTAGCTGGAACTACAGGGGCGTATCACTACACCTGGCTAATTTTTTGTAGAGATGGGGTTTAGCCATGTTGCCCAGGCTGGTCTCAAACTCCTGGACTCAAGCTGTCTGCTGGCCTCGGCCTCCCAAAGTGCTGGGATTACAGGCGTGAGCCACTGTGACTTTCAGCTTTGAAGTACCTTTGTTCCCCTGAGCCATTCTTGGACACCCGGGATGAGAGGCGGCTTCAGCTTTAAGGTCTGTAGGTTTTCTTAGAGGTAGGACAAGTCTGTCATCTTTGGCAAGTGAAGCTCTCCTACTCACTTGCCCAAGCTCTGGCTCCGCCCTGACTCTAACCCTCTCTCCCTTCCCGCCCCGCCCCTTCGTTAACCCTTGCTTCAGCGGTAATGGACATTTAACACAGAATGTTTATGGTGGTAACACCAGCCGTCTCCACGTCATCTTTTTGTCTGTTACCATTAGAGGGGATTTTTTCAGATTTGGGAGAAGGATTTCAAATGACTTCCCTTCAAGCTGCAGGGCTGTCTTGGGCATCTTGACCTCCACACATTTCTGGGAGGACTCCTCGTGACCTCCGCACATTCTTCTACATTCTTGAGAGGACTCTCGTGACCTCCGCACGTTTCTGGGAGGAACTCCTCGTGACCTCCATACGTTTCTGGGAAGGACTCTCGTGACACTCTGCGTTTCTGGAAGGGACTCCTCGTGACCTCACGCTGCGTTTCTGGAAAGACTCCGCCGCGACCTCCGCACATTTCTGGAGGACTCATCGCTTTGTAGAACTTGAGTAGTAAAGTGAGCTTTATCGCTCCAGAAGTGCCAGTGCCAGCAGACTCCATGGGGCCTAACTTTGAGATGGTTGGTGGGACTTGATTGGTAGATCTTTACCATGGATGTTTGTCTGGCGTGAGTGATTACGTTTTGGGCGCAGGAGGACCGGCTGGCCTGGAACTGGGAGAGAGAATGCCAGGGTGCCTGACCCCCAAGCGAAACCAGACCTGCATTGCTCACCCACTGAGTCACACGTGCAGCAGGACTTCAGGTGGTAGAGGTGGGCTTTCGCCAGCCAGAAGTGGGGTCTCTGTAGACTCCATGGGGCCCTGGCTTTTGGGATCTGTCTGGATCACCCTCCCCTGGCTTTTGTAGCAGGGCTGTCATGGGGCTGTTGATGTGGAAATCCCCCCACCACAGATGGCCTTTCTCTGGCAGCTAAGGTGACCTTCATTTTGGGCCTGAGAGGGCCAGCTGGCCTGGAACTGAGGGAGAGAAAATGCAAGGTGCCCTGACCCCCAAGCCTTGCAAACCGAACCATTGCTCACCCACTGGGTCACACAGGAGTCTGTAGGTGTCTCAGACTCGGAAAGTCAAACCCGAGCCCCTGACTTAGCCTCACCTCCTCAGTTCTGTTTCTCAGCAGCTGGCTGCACTGTTCACCTGGCTGCTCAGAACAAAGGCTTTCATCTTTCACTTCTCTCTGTCATTTCCCACATAATTGATCAGTAAAACCTGTCAGCTTTGCTTCCAGACTGCATCCCGGACCATTGTCATCACCTCCACCCACAATGGGGTCCAGCTGCTGTCCTCGCCCACTGTGCTGTTGTGGTCACCTTGGCTTGGCCTCCTGTCTTCGGTTGCTGTTCCTCTAAGTCCTGTCTCAAGAGCAGGGTGACCCTTTTATAAAGCCGCTCCCTGATCCAGACCCTCTGTCTCATACAGAGCAACCCCCAAAGCTGCCGGGCGCCGGCTACTGTCTGGCCTTTGCTTCCTCTGTGCCCACCAGGCCAGCCCACCTCTCCCCGCATCGTCTGGCATGCACTGCCTCGGGGCTTTCTCTGAGCCGCTCTCATCCACCTGTCAGCAAGGCTTCCCTGGCAACCGTCTTGAACAGCAGCATGTGTCCCGGCCACTGTACCCTGCCTCACTCTTCCCCATGGCACTTACCCCTGCCTTTGTCTGTCTCGGTCTGTCTGTCTGTCTCTTCCAATAGGAATAAAAACATAAATGTTCTTGCTCTACTCCTGGTGCCTAGAACTGTGCCTGACATTTGGTTGGCATCCACAAATGTTTTTGAACGAATGATTAACCAAACGAAAGGACGCCAGGAAGTATCCAGAAGCATGGTCTTTGGGATGGACAGATGCTCCTGTGGCTTCGATGCTCTGTGGGGGCCCCAGGCCCAGCTCACCGTGGCTCTTTTTCAGCTGTACTCCGGGGCTTCTGTCTGCACTCTGCCCTTCTGGACTGTCCCTCTCTCCCCTCCTGTCCCTTTCCCTCTGTTTCCTGGCCTCTCTTTCAAGTTTAGTAGTTTCCATTGCCCTCTTTGTTTTCCGAGTTTTATTTATTATATGTACATATATATATTTTTGGGATGGAGTCTTGCTGTCATGCAGGCTGGAGTGTAGTGGCATGATCTCAGCTCACTGCAACCTCCGCCCCCTGGGTTCAAGCAGTTCTCCTGCCTCAGCCTCCCAAGTAGCTGGCATTACAGGTGCCCGCCACCACACCCAGCTAATTTTTGTATTTTTAGAAGAGACGGGATTTTACCACGTTGTCCAGGCTGGTCTCGAACTCCCGACCTTAGGTGATCTGCCCACCTTGGCCTCCCAAAGTGCTGGGATTACAGGTGTGAGTCGCCACGCCCGGCCTTGTTTTCCAAGTTTTAACGCCCTCTGCGATGAAGAAACAAAGGGGGCAGCACATATCCGCCCCTCCTGGGACGGTCAGGAGTCCATGACACCCCTCTTCCTGTGGGCTCGGCCCCCACCTCCCCAGGACCCTGGGTTCCTAAGGCTGGGCTCCTCTCTCCTTATTGATCTCACCGAGGAGGGCCCGTGTCCTGTCACCTAAGGAGATGTGGGGCGTGGATTTGTTGTCTGTGAATGGAGCCGCTAAGCCTGGAGCTCCTCAGGCACCTGGGCTGTTTCCTTTAGATGTTTCTAGCCTCCCTCCACTGTGCCCAGCTCTGCAGAGGCTCCTTGTCTGTCGCTGGCCATGCCGTGTGGAGACCCCCTACTCCACTCTGTGTAGGAACCGTTTGTCCCAGAGACCAGATGGAACTCCTTGGGATGGGCGAGTTGTAGGCCTTCAACCAAGGCTCACTGACCGGGGCTGGCATGCACTTGGTGCCTGGTGCCTGACCTTGGGGCTGCTGTGGAAGCTTCTCAGTGGAAGCTTATGACTGGTGCTTGAGTGAGTGGGGAGAACCTGGCATGGGGGCCCAGACAGCCCTTCCAGACGCCAGGAGGGCTGCACGCCGTGCCTCCGAGGCCTGCTCACTGTCACTGGCTGCCCAGCTGTTGCAGTTCCCATCACTGTTTATTCCTTCCTCTGTGTAGGAGTCGGTATCCTGCCTGCGCTCAGGATGAGGGGGGATCTGGCCCTGGCGGGCGTTCTAATCAGCCTGGCCTTCCTGTCACTGCTGCCGTCTGGACATCCTCAGCCGGCTGGTGATGACGCCTGCTCCGTGCAGATCCTCGTCCCTGGCCTCAAAGGTAACCACTCCCTGAACTCTGGGCTGCTGGCCAGTGGCCTCTGGGCCAGCTCAGAGACTCCTATGCAACTGGGCAGTTCCACAGAAAAGCACAAAGCCCGGGCAAATCTGCTCACCCCATTGGGCCTCAGTTTCCCCATCTGGAAATCAAGGGTTGGGCAACATGAAGTCTAAACTGTCTTTGGCCATGGAATTTCTAATTCTGAAGGTAGCAATTTATTTGCAATTCAGCCCTCTCCAGGGGGGCCTTGCTGGAAGGCACCTGGGTTTTTGTCAGACCCTGCACACATGGCCTCGTGTGATCCTCCCCATGAGATGGTCTCATTTGGACTGTTTTACGCATGAGGAAATTTGAGGCTCAGAGAAACTTTGCAATTTGCATAAGTTCCCCAAGTGCGCTTCTACATTGCTTCCTGAGAGCTCTTAATATTTTATTTTAAAAATTAAAAAATCCCTGGTGGTCTAGTGGTTAGGGGAAAAAAAAAGAAACAAACATTTTTTTTTCCTCTTTTTGCTTTGTCTGCAATCTGCTCCCAGATAGAGATAGTTCTGCATGTCAGGCATGGGTGAGAAAGTCCCTGAAGCTGCAGTATCTGAAGCTTCCGAGTAGCATCTTCACGTAAGAAAATCACCAGCTTCTCCAAAGCAGAGGCAACAGGTCCCCAAACCTGGTGGAGCCCGGTGTGAAATGAAAATGTGGGCCCCTTGTTGAAAATTACAGAACCCAAGAAGGGACAGCAGAGTGTGTGCCAGTGTCGGGTGGCAGGGCCGGGGCTGCACGGGCCGCGGCAGAGTCCAGGCCGCAGCTGAGGGGAGTCACGTGGGTGCTGAGGAGGTGGAGGGGCACATTGACCTTCTGCGCTGAATCGAGTCCGCCTCCTCCTCATCCCCACGCAGGCTGCTTGGGCCTTCAGCGTCTCTTATGGAGTGGCTGCAGCTCTTTGTATTGAAACATTAGAGAAAAGTGGATTCAAACCCACGATCAAAACAGGCACCACAAAAGACAAGCCCTGCTCAGCCCATGTTATACAGAATGAAAAGATCAGCCCTCTTCCGGGGCACAGGGTCCGGACAGCTCAGGGCCACCCTGCCAGGCCATGCAGCTCCGGATGGGGGCTCTTTTCTGGCTGTGTTCACCCTGCTGTTGGAAACCAAGTGGGCCGCCCTGCAGCCCAGACAAGCCGAGTGGCCTTTGTGCTTTTAATTCTGATGAATGCACTTGCTTTAGAAAATGTTTAATTATATTGGAAGCAACTTAAACTGTTGGACGAGTATGGCTCTCTCAGAAGTTTTGGTGAAAGTGGCTTTGGCCCTGACTTTGTGGTCGCATGTGTGGGTTTGTGAGTGGAACCTTCAGCTTTAAGTTGGAAACCATGGCTGTGGAGAGCTGGACTTTAGGCTGGGGAGGTCACGTCCCTACCCAATGTGGTGGGTGCCCCCGACTCCCTACCATTCTCTTCCCTGCGCCCTGCCAGGTCTGTTGCCCGCACTAGTGGGGGCGGTGGGGTGGGCTCCAGGGTCCTTTCTGGATGCTGCCTTTCCCTGGTGCTGTTGGGAGGGTCCTTCCCAGCCATCCACGTCCTGGGTCCCCTGGATATGCTGTCATTTCCCACATGGGTAGGGTCCCTTCCCAACCTTCACAGGCTGGGAAATAGGGCAGATCTGAGTGTGCTGTGGGTCAGCGATGCTGTGTGATGGGTACCTGTCCTTCCAAGCCTTGGCCTCCTTGTCCGTGAGGTTGGGGAGGCAATGCCAGCTTTGGGTTCTGTGGGGATGCAATGGTGGCACCAGGAGTGGGCACACGGTGACCGGGGACCCAGCCCCTGCTCCTGGCTCTGGGACAGTGACTTACAAAACACTAACCCTGTGCAGGCAGTGAGCCCAACCAGGGAGCAGATCAGGTGTCCGTCCAGCACGCGCCCCGCGGGTCTGCAAGTGAGGGGTGTGCACCAGGGGTGAGGAACGGTTTAGAAGGATTCAGGATGCCCAGTGTGTCAGAAATTGGGTTACTCAATGGAGAAAATGGTGTGTGCCAGCAGACTTCATCCCTGCCAGCCACAGCATGTGCTGTAGCACCCCAGGGCTGCTGGAGGTCAGAGAGGAGAGGCAGCGTGCAGTGCAGCACAGCTGGAGGTCAGAGAGGAGAGGCAGCGTGCAGTGCAGCTGGAGGTCAGAGAGGAGAGAGGTCAGAGAGGAGAGGCAGCGTGCAGTGCAGCTGAGGTCAGGAGGAGAGGCAGCATGCAGTGCAGCTGAGGTCAGAGAGGAGAGGCAGCGTGCAGTGCAGCTGGAGGTCAGAGAGAGGCAGTGTGCAGTGCAGCTGAGGTCAGAGAGGAGAGGCAGCGTGGCAGTGCAGCTGGAGGTCAGAGAGGAGAGGCAGCGCGGTGCAGTGCAGCTGGAGGTCAGGCAGGAGAGGCAGGCGTGCGTGCAGCTGGAGGTCAGGAGGAGAGGCAGCGTGCAGTGCAGCTGAGGTCAGGAGAGGAGAGGCAGCGCGGCAGTGCAGCTGAGGTCAGAGAGGAGAGGCAGCGTGCAGTGCAGCTGGAGGTCAGAGAGGAGAGGCAGCGTGCAGTGCAGCTGGAGGTCAGGAGAGGCAGCGTGCAGTGCAGTGCAGCTGGAGGTCAGAGAGGAGAGGCAGCGTGCAGGGCAGTGCAGCTGGAGGTCAGAGAGGAGAGGCAGCGTGCAGTGCAGCTGGAGGTCAGAGAGGAGAGGCAGCGGCAGGTGCAGCTGAGGTCAGAGAGGAGAGGCAGCGTGCAGGGCAGTGCAGTTGGAGGTCAGAGAGGAGAGGCAGCGTGCAGTGCAGTGCAGCTGGAGGTCAGAGAGGAGAGGCAGCATGCAGTGCAGCTGGAGGTCAGAGAGGAGAGGCAGCGTGCAGGGCAGTGCAGCTGAGGTCAGGAGAGGAGAGGCAGCGTGCAGGGCAGCAGTTGGAGGTCAGAGAGGAGAGGCAGTGTGCAGGGGCAGTGCAGCTGAGGTCAGAGAGGAGAGGCAGCGTGCAGGGCAGTGCAGCTGGAGGTCAGAGAGGAGAGGCAGCGTGCAGTGCAGTCCAGCTGGAGGTCAGGAGAGGAGAGCAGTGTGCAGGGCAGTGCAGCTGGAGGTCAGGAGAGAGGCAGCATGCAGTGCAGCTGAGGTCAGAGAGGAGAGGCAGCGTGCAGTGCACCTGGAGGTCAGAGAGGAGAGGCAGCGTGCAGTGCAGCTGGAGGTCAGAGAGGAGAGGCAGCGTGCAGTGCAGCTGGAGGTCAGGAGAGGAGAGGCAGCGTGTGCACGCTGGAGGTCAGAGAGAGAGGCAGCGCAGTGCCGCTGCAGGTCAGGAGAGGAGAGGCAGCGTGCAGTGCCGCTGGAGGTCAGAGAGGGAGAGGCATGTGCAGTGCAGCTGAGGTCAGGCGCAGGCAGCGTGCAGTGCAGCTGAGGTCAGAGAGGAGAGGCAGCGTGCAGTGCCGCTTGGAGGTCAGAGGAGAGGCAGCGTGCAGTGCCGCGTGAGGTCAGGAGAGGCAGCGTGCAGCCACTGGAGGTCAGGAGAGGAGAGGCAGTGTGCAGGGCAGTTGGAGGTCATGAGAGAGGCAGCGTGCAGTGCAGTGCCGCGGAGGTCAGAGAGGAGAGGCAGCGTGCAGTGCAGCTGAGGTCAGGAGAGGCAGCGGCAGTGCAGTACAGCTGAGGTCAGAGAGGAGAGGCAGCGTGCAAAGCCGGGCCGAGGTCAGAGAGAGAGGCAGCGTGCAGTGCAGCTGAGGTCAGGAGAGGCAGCGTGCAGTGCAGTACAGCTGCTGGAGGTCAGAGAGGAGAGGCAGCGTGCAGTGCAGCTGGAGGTCAGGAGAGGCAGCGTGCAGTGCAGTGCAGGTGGAGGTCAGAGAGGAGAGGCAGCGTGCAGTGCAATTCATTCATTAGACAAACGTCTGTTGAGAATCTGCCAGGCAGGCTCAGGGCTGGGATGAAGAAGCCATGGTCTGTCTCCTCACAGTCCCGCCATTCAGCCCAGGACCTGGGGTGGCATCTGGTCTGCGAAACACGGCACGTGCCCTCCCCCCGCACCACTTGCATTTTGGATCCTGAAACCTTTGCCGACTCCACATTTGGCTGAAGAATCTTCCTGGGCACACACGCCTGGCTGCCACTGACTGCTAGTGGTGCTTGAATGACATTTATTTGTCATTCCAGGCCTAATAATAATATATCATCTTTACATTTAGAGAGAATGACAACTCCTTTTAATGGGAAAAAAGCAGTCTTTTTTTTTTAGTGGTTAAAAAAATGACTGTAGGTGGGAAAACATTTATCCGTATTAACAAATGTGTTGCCCGGAAATATGAAAGGTCATAGTTCTTCTTATAGGTTTTATCAAATTAATTTTTTTTTTGCTTTTTTTTTTTCTTTTTGCGATGGAGTTTCTCTCTTGTTGCCCAGGCTGGAGTGCAGTGGTATGACCTTGGCTCACTGCAACCTCCACTTCCCGGGTTCAAGCGATTCTCCTGCCTCGGCCTCTCAAGTAGCTGAGATTACAGGCACGCACCACCATGCCTGGCTAATTTTTGTATTTTTAGTAGAGACGGGATTTCACCGTGTTGTCCAGGCTGGTCTCGAACTCCTGACCCACCCGCTTCGGCCTCCCAAAATGCTGGGATTGCAGGTGTGAGCCACCACGCCTGGCCTATCAAATTAATTTAAAAATCATTTACTGCCATTCTTTAAAACAACACTGATAAAGCCAGTAATGGGGCCTGAATAACATACACTGTGGGAGGTTTGCTCTTCTGACGTCTGACGGCCTATCTATGCTGTCTCCCCTTGTGTAGAACGAGCCAAGCAGGCTGAGGTCCCGGCTTTCTCCTCTCTGACTTCCCATGGCCCTGGGGTGCCGTGGCACTTGCTGTGGCCGGCAGGGATGTGAAGTCGTTGGCACACGAGTTTGTTCAGCCTTAGAAGCCGGTGGCACGACAGTCAAGCACTGTCCACGGATCTTCCTCAACTGGCTGTAAATATGTCGAAATACCTTAGGTTCTCCATAAAATAACTGGCGTGTGCCTTCCTAGCTGGGCAGGAAATGACCCCAGATGCAATCTAGGTAAAAGATTTTTGTTCGTAGATTTGTACATGATTTGCAGGGAAGCCAGGCAAACAGTAAATGCCAGCCACGTTTTGTTTCTTTGAGCGACGAGAGAGCCGCGTTGTGATGAAGGTGGGAAGTGGGCCAGCGGTTGAAATGTTAGCCTCTCCTGGCAGAGAAATAACTTGTCATTAGAACTATGTAGTCAATCACCTGAAAATGAAAAGGATGTGGGAAAAATTCATTGCGCTCGCTGGGTCTACATTACAAAATGCACAGTGCTGAGTGAGGAGGTGTATAGAAATCCTGTTCTGGAGTCATTACTTGCAGGGACATACATCTTTGTGACCCCTGGGACCAGTGGACAATGAACACTTCAAACCCTGCCAAACTGGCCAGGTGCAGTGGCTCACGCCTGTGATCCTGGCACTTTGGGAAGCTGAGGTGGGAGGATGACTTGAGCCCAGGAGCTTAGACTACCCAGGGCAGCATAGTAAGACCGCATCTCTGGGAAAAAACGAAACAAAACAAAACAAAAAAACCAAAAATAAACAAAACCAAAAACAAAACAACAACAAGAAAACAAACAACCCTGCCAAATTGTGAACAGTGCTTGAGAACAACCTTGGTTCTTAAGATGCGTGGACAGGGCAAGTCTGCAAGGCGGAGGCGACGGGGACCGCAGAGAAACCAGGGCAGCCCCGCCGTGGATGGTAGGCCTCTGTACTCTCCGGTCTTCAGTGCTGCTGGTCCCGAACCAGAGATTAAAATACTTTTTCTCGTGACAACCAGCACTGCGTCTTCCAGGGCATATTTTGTTCAATCCTCATCAGGGCTGAGGAGTGCCAGGCTGGGAGGGCTTACGCTGGGTTTTGCACAGGAAGGAAAGCAGTTTCTGACTCCAGGTTTGGGCTCCCCACACTGCAGGCACAGCCATGAGGCATTTGGGGTACCTGCTGCCCAGCGCTGGCTGAAGTATGCCTGGCCCTGTTCAACTGCAGACACAGGTCCATTAAGCAGAGCCCCTGGGAGATGGCGTTTAAGTGGATTTTGTGATTAGCTAAGATATATGAGGAAAATCCATGTTAAATCCTCTTCTTTCAAAAGTCGTGCTGTTTTTAATGACTTACTGTTCTTTCTTTCCTGCTTTAGTAACGAGAGTTTGTCGGACACAGTGTAATGTGTGGTGCTTTTCAGGGTCCTTCCCTGCCTCCAGTTGTTACTATGAACTATTTTTCTTTTCTTTGATTTTGTGTTTTTTGGTTTTTTGCTTTTTTAGAGATAGGATCTTGCTCTGTCACCCAGGCTGGAGTGCAGTGGTGCAATTAACTGCAGCCTCCAACTCCTGGGCTGAAGAACTCCTCCCACCTCAGCTTCCTGAGTTGCTGGGACTCCAGGTGCACAGCAACACACTCTGCTAATTTTTTTTTTTTTTTTTGAGACGGAGTTTCACTCTTGTTGCCCAGGCTAAAGTGCAATAGCGTGCTTGGCTCATTGTAACCTCTGCCTCTTGGGTTCAAGTGATTCTCCTGCCTCAGCCTTCAGAGTAGCTGAGATGACAGGCACCCACTACCACATCCAGCTAATTTTTGTATTTTTGGTAGAGACGGGGTTTCACCATGTTGACCAGGCTGGTCTCGAACTCTTGACTTCAGGTGATCCACCCGTCTTGGCCTCGCAAAGTGCTGGGATTACAGGTGTGAGCCACCATGCCCGACCCCTGCTAATTTTTTTGTAGAGATGGAGTCTTGCTATGTTGCCCAGGCTGCCTTTAAGTGATCCTCCTGCCTTGGCCTCCCAAAGTGCTGGGATCACAGGCACGAGTCACTGCACCTGGCCAACAAGTTTTCAAAAATCAGATTAGAGACAAGCAGATGGATGCAGGTGGAGGTTGGTCAGAAGCTATCATGACAAGCTTGTCCTTACTGCTTTGTCTTGAGGAGGAGAGGAGACGAGGGTGAGTAGTCATGCTGGTTAGTGAGTCTCGCTCTGAGGTTTCGATGCCCGAGGAAGGCATGGTAAAGACACACTGGCGTGCCAGCACATCCCAGCTGAGACATGTCGCTTGATTCTCACAGCTGTGTCTTCACCTGTAGAGTGGACGCCGTGCCCGACCCATGGTGAAATTATTATGCAAATAAGTGAATGCCACGTACAAACTCCAGGAGCTTTCTTAAGCAGTTTGAAAAGAGCTGGCAGACCTGCTTAGGGTTAATTCTCTACGAGCACTGTTGGAGCACCCTCCTCTTCCTGGTGCTCTGGGGGACTGGGGGTTGGGGGAGATGGAGCTGTGTCTTCTCGGAGCTTTCAGCCTGGGGGAGAGAGAGCAGACTGCCATCATGTAGGCGGTGTGAAATGCTTTATGAAGGAAACATTCTTCCGCCCTCCTCTCGGCCACAATCACTGTCGGCCTGGATCATGGCATGGATGGTCAGGTTATCCCCATGAGCTCCAGGCATGAAGTCCCTGGGCTGCCTGCTGCCCCAGGCTCGCGGCTGGCTCTGCCCAGCCACCTGGCTTCCCGTCAGCCCTTCCAGCCCTTCCCCCTCATCTGTGCACCTGCTGACCCTGTGCTCAGAACAGTTCTTACTCTGTGCCTGGCTACCCTGCTCAGCAGCTCAGCCTGAGAGCCGCCCCTCAGAGGGACTTTTCGGATCTTGCCGTCTAAATTATGGCTCCTTTGTTGAGGTGATTGCCTCATTTTATTCTTGCGCCCCGTGTTGCTAATGAGAATTCTTATGTCAATCTGTTTCTCATTCACAGGCATGCAGTCTATAAAACTGTTTTCCCCTCCTGGGGAGCTGACAGAATTTTCTCTTTATTCTCAGTGTTCTGCGGTGTCGCTCTGACATATCTGAGTTACTTTTCTCTGATTTTCCCCGTGTGGTTCTCTGCAGGCCCTTTCACAGCATTCTTTCATGGCTTTCCTTAGTACTGGGAAATTGCAGCTACTGAATCTTCACAGCCACAAAGCCTTTGTTCTCTCTTTCCGGAAATGCTATAAGATGGCCATTGGCATTTGTAAGTTTTTCCTTCAACTCTCAACTTCATAACTTCAAAACAAACAAACGACACCTGCATTTCTTATTAGTACTGCCTTGTGAACAATGCTTCCTCCTCACCCCTGGCTTCACGAGGCCTCTTCGTCCTTGGCCACTGGGGACTCGCCTTTCTGCGGAGTGGCTCCCGCACAACGTCTCTGCTTGGCTCTTTCCGCCGCAGTGTGTTGTTCACGGACTGGCCTCTCCCGTGTTATGAGGACCTCAGTTCACCGATTGCACAGTCAGCGTCCGGCTGCTCCACCTTTCTGTCTCCTCTGTTCTTTCTTCTGCACGATACTGGTGCCCCTGAAACCTCTGAGGATTCTTAATGCTGAGTTTATCTTGTTAGTGGATATTTCTTGCTGAAGTGTCAACACTTCTCTTTTCTTCTTACAAGCTAGGAAAGCAGACTTGAGAACTACTTGGAGCCTCAGGGCAGCGTGTGAGTGTCCACCGTGGGTCAGCTCAGGGGCAGCCCACAGGCTTCTCAGCAGGTGGCCCTGGGGGGCTGGGGCTGGGGCACGGGGGTGATGTGGGGATGTGCCAGCCGCTGTCGCTGTGCTTTTCTCTTTGTTACTTGGATTTAAATGGAATGTCCCCTCCGTGAGGCCAGATAATCAGCTTTGGGGATTTTGTGGAGGGATCTGTAATCTCAGCTGAGCCTCTCTCCAAGACAAGGTGCAAATGGAGAGTTATAGAGAAGCAAAGTTTACGTGAACGCTGGCACGACTGTGCAGAGAGGGAAGGTGAACTTGTAGCATGTCAGTGCACACACATGCACACCCATGCACACGCACACACACACATGCACACCTACGCTCACACACGCACACATGCACATGCACCCACACGCACATCTATGCACATGCACACACACACGCACACAGATCCACACACGCAGACGTGCACACACACGCACACATGCGCACACAGCTGCACACACACACACGTGTACACACACATGCACACACACGCACACACACTCCCTCTCTGCAGCCATTCAGAGGAGGGATAGTGCAACAGGTAAGAAATGCGGCCTTATAAAAATGACTACAGAGGAGTCCCAGCCAGCAGATCAGAGTGGTCCTGTTGAGAGAATCCAGAAGAGCCTCCCGGAGAACCAGGTGAGAAGGCGGACGCTGGACAGGAGCCGGCTGACCAGGCAGGCTGGGCAGAGGGCACAGAGTAGGGAATGACCGGGATCCGAGGTGGAGACCACACTGAGGAGGGGCTCAAGTACTGGGCGTCACTGATAGCTAAATCCAGAGACATAATAGAATTCCGTGTGTTTCAGGACAGTGGTTTTGGTGTGGATTAGAGTGTGGGGAGCAGACTGGAGCAGAGGCGTTGGTGCCTACAGGCCCCTGGCCTCACCGCGCACATCTCTGAACTGTGCCTTGTAGGGCGTCTCCACCGTGATTCACCCTCTGTCTCCCGCGCCTGCTGAGCCCCGGGAGCGGGTGGACGTGCCCAGCTGGTCACAGGCAGCCCCCACGGTGGAGGCCCTGGCTGAGCAGGAGCCTGTGCCTGGGGGACTCACGCTGACAGGGCCGGGGGGTGCTGACGTAGCGCCCGAGGTCATCCTTCCCCGAGTACCAAGCAGACGAAGCGCAGGGAGAGGTCGGGGTGTCACTTCCCGTGGGGGGCACCTGGAGACGCTGCCGCCCTTCTCATTTGGTGTTAGGGTAGGGGAGAGCTGGCATTTAGATGGGGCACTGTGTGCCCAGGGACGGACTGGGAGCCCACCACGAGGGGGAACGGGTGAAAGAAACATGCCCTTTCTAAGAGAGAAGGTAGGGCAGGGAGAGAAATAGCCCTAAAAACAGAATCAGCGGCACCCAGCGTAGGGGCTGGGCTGCAGGCAGTGGGGGAGGGCGTGGGGACAAGGGGCCTGGGCACCTGCAGGGACCCAGAGAGAGCCCTTCTAACTGTTCTTCCTCCACAAATCACTCTGGGATGCTGTGCTGGCCAGACAAGCTGCTAAATGGATGTGACTTCTTCCACAGGGGATGCGGGAGAGAAGGGAGACAAAGGCGCCCCAGGACGGCCTGGAAGAGTCGGCCCCACGGGAGAAAAAGGTACCTGCAGCCCTGGGCCGGCCCTCAGAGCTCTGAGGATGGAGGCACCACTTCTGCAAGAGCCGGGTGGGGAGGTGGGGGTGGGGGTTCCAGAGAGGACAGGCCCTGCCCTCTGGGTCCCAGGGAGGCACACGGCACGGGGCTTGGCTCGGGAGCGAGGAGGGGAGAATGCTCCTCCAGCAGTGCTCCGTGTGCTGACCTGTGCGGCCCCAGGAGAGAAAGTGTGTCCTGGAACTCAGCAGAGGCTCCTGGCCTCTGTAAGCCTCATCTGTAAGATGGGAATAACAGCTTCCAGATCATTTGTGAGCGCTAAGTGGAGCAGTGTCGTTATGAAGACACTGTGGCAGGGTACACAGATAGGACCCTCATCACTGTGCATCTGTCTCCTCCTAAAGTCGGATGATTCTGCCTGCCCTGTGGGACTGTGCCGAGGCTCATGGGAGCCAGATCATACATGTAAAGGAAATGTATCATGTGTTAAGTAGCTGCACAGTACATGGCAGGGGTTAAACACATGGTGGCTATTATCTTTATATACTCCTTGTTACTGCTTTAAACTTTTTAAAATGTTTTTTCTTTTTCTTTTCTTTTTGTTTTTTTTGAGACAGAGTCTTGCTGTGTAGCCCATGCTGGAGTGCAGTGGCACAGTCTTGGCTCACTGTAACCTCCACCTCCCAGGTTCAAGCCATTCTCCTGCTTCAACCTGTTGAATAGCTGTCATGTGCTATCATGCCCAGCTAACTTTTTTTTTTTTTTTTTTTTTTGGTATTTTTGGTAGAGACTGGTCTTCACCTTGTTGGCTAGGCTGGTCTCGAACTCCTGGCCTAAAGCAATACATTTTTTTCCAAGTCATTAAAAATTGTCTCTAGAAATGCTTTCTCAATATGTATACATCATTCTATAAGAACATATACTACAGTTAGCCAACCCCCCAACCAATCCTTTAACATTGGAGAGTTAAGTTGTTTCCAATTTAAAAAAATTATTATAACAACACAAAGATGATTAAATATATATTTAAGCCCATACACTGTTCTTGAAACATTTTTGAGGTGTCATTTTTGGACATTCCCATTTTGAGATTACAGTGCAATCAGTTTTGACCATTGCCCCCACCTGTACCCTCGTCCTGAGCAAGAGCTAGAACATTCTTATTTCATTTAGCGTAATGCCCTCCAGGTTCATCCAGGTCACAAATGGTAGGATTTTCTTATATTTCAAGACTGAATAATATTCTGTTATATATATGCCATGTTTTCTTTATCCACTGATTGGTCAACGGATGCTTAGGTTGTTTTCATACGACGGCCATTGTGAATAATGCTGCAGTCAGCATGAAACTGTAGGGATCTCTTCGAGATCCGATTTCATTCCTCTGCCTGTGAGCCCAGTAGTGACATGGCCGGATCATGTGGTAGTTCTGCTTTTGATGTTTTCAAGGAGCCTCTGTACTGTTTTCCATTCCCAGCAGTGGTGTCTAAGGGCTCCCCTTTCTCCACATCTTCTCCAATGCTTACTCTCCTTTGACTTTTTGATACCAGCCATCCTCACAGGCATGAGGTGATGTCTCATTGTGGCTTTAGTTTCTATTTTCCTAATAATTGATGACATTGAGCACCTTTCCGTATACCTGTTGGACATCTGTATGTCTTCTTTAGAAAAATATCCGCCTGTAATCCCAGCACTCTGGGAGGCCGAGGCAGGCAGATCACGAGGTCAGGAGATCGAGACCATCCTGGTTAACACGGTGAAACCCCGTCTCTACTAAAAATACAAAAAATTAGCCAGGCATGGTGGCGGGTGCCTGTAGTCGCAGCTACTTGGGAGGCTGAGGCAGGAGAATGGCGTGAACCCGGGAGGCGGAGCTTGCAGTGAGCTGAGATCACGCCACTGCACTCCAGCCTGGGCGACAGAGCGAGACTCCATCTCAAAAAAAAAAAAAAAAAAAAAAAAAAAAAAAAATGTCTATTCAGATTCTTTGCCCGTTTTTAAATTGGGTTATTTGTTTTTTGGCTATTGAGTTGTATGAGTTCCTCATATATTTTGGATATTAACCTCTTATCAGATACATGGTTTGCAAATACTGTCTCCCGTTCCATAGGCACATTTCTGTTTTGTTGATTGCTTTCTTTGCTGTGCAGAAACTTGTTAGTTGGATAGGTTAGTCCCACTTACTTATTTTTGCTTTTGTTGCCTGTGCTTTTGGGGTCATATAAAAAAAAAATCATTGCCAAGACCAAAGGCAAGGAACTTTTCCCTTACATTTTCTTTTAGGAGTTCTGTGATTTCAGGTATTACATTTAAATCTTCTATTTTGAGCTGATTTTTATGTATAGTATAAGACAAGGATTCAGTTTTGGGTTTTTTTGCATGTGAATATTCAGTTTTCCCAATAGCATTGTGTATTCTTTGTGCCTTTGTTGAAGGTTAGTTGACTGTATATGCACGCACGGGCTTATTTCTGTGCTTTCTATTCTGCTCTATGGTCTGTGTGTCTGTTTTTATGCCAGTGCTCATTTGAGCAAGTATACTGCTTTGATTACCATCTATCCGTAATATAATTTAAAACCAGGAAGTGTGATGCCTTTAGCTTTGTTTTTCTTGCTGAAGACTGCTTTGGCGATACATGACCTTTTATGGATTCACATGAATTTTAGGATTTTTTTTCCATTTCTGTGAACAGTGCCTTTGGAATTTTGATGGAGATTGCACTGAATCTGTAGATTGCTTTGGGTAGTGTGGACATTTTGAAATATTAATTCTTTTGATCCATGAACATGAGATTTTTTTCCATTTATTTGTGTCTTCAATGTTTCATAGTTCTCAGTGTACAGGTACACAACTCTTCCTTGGTTAAATTTATTCCTAAATATGTCATTCTGTTTAGTGCTACAGTCAGGGAGACTATTTCCTTAAATTTCTTCAGGTAGCTCGTTGTTAGTGTATAGAAATGCTGCTGATGTGCATGTGTTGATTTTGTATCCTGCAACTTTACTGAATTTGTTTGTTAGTGCTAACCAGTTTTTAGTGGCGTCTTTAGGGTTTTATTTATATAAGATTATGCCATCTGCAAACAGAGCCAGCTTTCTCTCTCCCTTTCCAATTTGGATCCCTCCCTCCCTCTCTTCCTCCTTCCCTCTGCCTTTCTCTTCCTTTCTTTCTCTCTCTTTCTCCCTTTCCTTTTCTTTCCTTTCCCCTTTCCTTTTCTCTTTCTTGCTTAATTGTTCTGGCTAGGACTTCCAGCCCTATATTGAATACAAGAGATGAGAATGGGCATCCTTGTCTTGTTTCTGATTTTAGAGTAAAGCTTTCAGCTTTTCACCAGTGAGTATGATGTTAGCTGTGGACTTCTCATATATGGCCTTTATTGTGTTGAGATGGAGTCTTTGTATATGTGCTTTCTTGAGAGCTTTTATCATGAAACAACACTGAGTTTTGTCAAATGTTCTTTCTGCATCTACTGATGATAATATGATGTTTATTCTCTATTCTGTTGATGGGGTATATCACATTTATTGATTTCTGTATGTTGAACCATAGGCATAAATTTTGCTTGATCATGGTGTATAATCCCCCTCCTTTTTTTTTTTTTCTGAGATGGAGTCTTGCTCTGTTGCCCAGGCTGGAGTGCAATGGCACGATCTTGGTTCACTGCAACTTCTGCCTCCTGAGTTCAAACGATTCTCCTGCCTCAGCCTCCCGAGTAGCTGGGATTACAGGCATGCACCACCATGCCCAGCTAATTTTTGTATTTTTAGTAGAAATGAGGTTTCACCATGTTGGCCAGGCTGGTCTTGAACTCCTGACCTCAGGTGATCCACCTGCCTTGACCTCCCAAAGTCCTGGGATTACAGGCATGAGCCACTGCGCCTGGCCATATATAATCCTTTTAATGTGCTGTTAAATTTAGTTTGCTAGTATTGTGTTGAGGATTTTTGCATCTATGTTCATCAGGGATATTGGCCTGTAATTTTTTTTTCTTCTACTGTCCTTTTCTGGCTTTGGTATCAGGGTAATGCTAGCTTTGTAAAGCTAGTTCAGAAGTGTTCTCTCCTCTTCAGTTTTTTGTAAGATTTTAGAAGGATTGGTATTAATTCTTATTTAAATTTTTGGTAAAGTTTGGCATGAGGATGCCAGGTCCTGGACTTTTCTTCGATTGGAGATTTTTGACTATGGAATCAGTCTTGTTACCGATCTGTTCAAATTTATTATTTTTTCATTATTCAGTCTCGGTGAGTTGTATGTTTCTAGGGATTTGTCCATTTCTTGTAGGTTATTCAAACTTTTGATGTATAATTATTCATATTAGTCTCTTATGACCCTTCATATTTCTGTGGTATCAGTTGTCATTTCTCCATTGCATTTCTGATTTTATTTGAGTTAGCTCTTTTTTCTTAGTCTAGCTAAGCTTTTGTCAATTTTTTTTTTTTTTTTTTTTTTTTTTTGCCTTTTCAAAAAGCAACTCAGTTTTGTCGCTTTGCTATCGCTCTTCTAGTCTCTATTTGATTATTTCTGCTTGGATCTTTGTTATTTCCTTACTTCTAACTTTGGGCTTCGTTTGTTTGTTTTTTTCTAGTCCCTTATGGTGTAAAGTTAGATTGTTTGTTTGTAACCTTTCTTTTCCTTCCATGTAGGTATTTGTTGTTATAAACTTTTCTCTTAGAATATCTTTTTGCTGTATCCCATAAGTTTTTGTATGTTGTGTTTTCATTTTCATTTGTTTCAAGATATTTTTTGATTTCTTTTTTGACTCATTGATTGTTCAGGAATGTCTTGTTTAATTTTCTGGTATTTGTGAATTTTCCAGTTTTCCTTCTCTTGCTGATTCCTTGTTTTATACTGTTGTGGTTAGAAGAGATGCTTGATATGATTTCAGTCTCCTTGAATTTGTTAAGACTTGTTTTGTGGCCTAACATATGATGTATCTCGAAGAATGTTCCGTGTGCACTGGAGAGGGATGTGTTTTCCGCGCTGTTGGATGGAGTGTTCTCTGTATGTCT